AGTTGGTCGCAAGGGACGGAAGTCTTGTTGCTCTTCCTGGCTGACTTGAAGGCAAAAAGCGAGGGCTCCCTCCTCCCTGGGCACATTTCTTGAAGGTTGGGCTTTTTAAAGGACGGATGTTGTAAACTGTGAACGTGGTTCTGGAACAAAAACGGGCTTGTGTTTGTCGGCAAAGTGTTTTGCATGTTCTTGGGTTTCTCAAGTAAGCACTTTTAGGGGAACCATGGATCGCGCTGTCCAGGGTGCCTTCTCTCTTGACCCATCTGAGCTATGCTCGACCAAGCATGGCGGAGGTACCATCTTTGATCTTCAGCCGCTTTCCTCTCCTTGAGCGCAAGATCTGGCGACGGCAAATGAAATGGTTTGTCTCAACGCCAGGGCCCCAACACTTGGTTGGCAGTCCTTAAACCAAATTAAAGGGGTTCGTCCACAAGAGGCACGTGAAGGGTCAACGTCAAAGCAAACGCAGCTTTGACCGGTCTCCAATTTCGTCGGTTTGAGCCCGCAAGTGAGAGCGCCCCACTCCAACCCGCATCCCAATGAGCCTGCCAACCCCAATGGCAATCACGAAAAACCGAGCAAACGTACCCCATATGTGGCTTTCTTCTTTTTGAAGGGAACCCCCTGTAACATTGGAACACGGGGTGGAGGTCGGGCTCTGGGACTGATGTGATTGCCCCACATTTCCTTCATTCCTGGTGTGGTGTGCAGGTTTTCCTGGTATGGAAAGCAACAGCAGGTGTGTGCGGAATCGCCAGCTGAAGACCCTTTGAGCCTCCATGCATCGACTTGCAGGGCATGTGGTGGAAAGGTAATTAAGCATTGGAGCGGGTTGGGAGGGGCCTGGGACGAGGGATTCCTTTTCCGGACGGAGGACCGACGCCCCAACAAACAATCATTTCCCACCGCCCACAGCATATGATTCATGATTCATCCGGTTGAACCTGCTCTTCGTCCGACGTGCACACGATGGCTGAGCTTGCTCAGTGACAAGTTGTCATTTCCACTTAGTGCTTAAAAGAGATTGTTGCAGTCACACCAAGCAGCACCAAGGCTGAAATGGCAGCTTTCTTCTGATTTCCACCAGAACTTTCCTCCCCCACAAGCTAAATTATATAATCCCCTGCTCCCCCTTCACTTCGCAAAAGGTCTAAAGGCTAAGGAAGGTAGACTGTTTTATTCCTCTCTCTCGCCTATCTGTTGCGGCGAGGAGGAACAAAGGAAATAATCTCTAGTATCCTCCCTTGTCCTCGCTGTTAAGGGTTTACCTGTCCAGACAGCCGTGGGACAAGCCATGAGTGAGTGAGATGCAATGAGCGAACGAAGGGAAAGGAATGGATTGGGAAGCCCACACCAGGACAGCCTTCCAGCAAGCGAAGACAAATTTGAGAACAACTCGGGAAACTAAACCCCCAAAGATACTGTTGTGGGGTCCGCAGCTAGGCTTCGGGCATCTTCGGGTTCCTTTGGGCTTCCATCCAGAAGCGCTCAGAAATCCATTCTACCTGTTCTCCCAGCGTTTCGGGATCTTCACCGTTTTTCCCCCCCCCCCCCCGGCAACAGGGCCCAACTCCGGGCGCAAGATGGCGCGATTTGCAGCGAGCTGCTTCGCCCAGAAGCTCTGCAGCGAGCTTTGCAGGATGCGCTTCATGGTCAGCAGCTCCTGGCGTGTGGGGGACGTCATGGCTCACTTCCTGGTCCCGCGTTCATTGTGTTTGTGCAGTTGACTACCAAAGAAGCACCATGGGGTTCTAAAAAAGACACCCGGTTACTTTAAGTATTGCCTTTCGGAGATGCCAGTTTGAAGTGGAATTTCTTTGAGGGCGATGTCCCACCCGATCAGAAGTGAGATGCGGTTTTAACGAATCATCTTGATCGCAGTTATGTATGTGTAAAACGGGAATTCAGTCTGCACGGCTTCGCGGTGCGCACAGTTCAAGAGCTCACACCTAAAACATGGGTGACTCGCCTTTTTCGGTTTTCGGGGCTCCTTGCTTGCCACTAAAATGGTCCTTTCAAGTATGAATATGCGGAACTCAGGAAGTAAGTCACCTGTCCTTCTGCAAGCTTTGGCATATTGCATTGGAATCGCGAGGTATTGTCTTCTGAGCGTCAGCTATCAAGCTCCATGCAACTCGCAGAAAAGGCAAGCTGCAAGCACAACATGTGCTTCTAAATCTTCAGACAGTAATTTTGACCCTCTCTCCCTTCCTTTTGGGAGTGAATTTTAGTAGGGGAGGGAATACACGCCCACCAACCAACCACTTTAGAGGTGGTTCCATATTGAAATTCATAGCCATTTAGGGGATGTTCGTGAGATTTGAATGTACGTACCCTGTTTGGATTGCCCAAAGGGAACGATGCAAAGGAGCGCAATTTGTGGATTGAACTCCCCCATCAGGTAAGCTGCTCTCCCCAATATCTTCACTGGTGGGTATGCGTCCACCCAAGCAGTCACGATATAATGTGGTGGCCCAAAATGGTTGATCCTTGGACACCCCGTTAAAAAACAACTTAGGGTCTGTGGCCGTTTGGACACAACACATGGCCCTGGTAAATGCGGCATGAAACAAGTGCCATCTGTGTTTGATCAAACTAACCTAGGAATACATATGCTCGGGGGTTTTAAGGGAGGCCGCTTGTTTTCACATGCCTCAGCGGAGCGCTGGGGCAAGCAGCCCTCCTGCGCTCGAGCTGCTCGAACGAGCGAATAATTTCTTTGACTCTGACCAAGATTTCTTTCTGGTGCGAAAGGCAGGGAATGAGTTACAATGACCTATAAACCAAGCTTTAAAATTTCCTTTAACGGAATCCCTAGGCTGGGACATACTACGGAGAACCAGCAAGATTGGACGGTTTGAAGTTTGTCGTTTTTGAGGCTACCACTCTTTTTGTTGGCTTTAAAGCAAGACCAAAAGGTACACCGAAGCGATTCTTGGGGTGCCAAGCCCACCCGTTTAGAACCGCTGGTCGCTGTTTGTTGCAATTGGGAATACAACGAGGAGGACTGTGCGAGTGAGGACCGTGCGAGTTTCAGGGTGGCAAGCCTCTTTTAGTGCTTGTAGGGGGGTCCTCCAGCATAGTTCGAGTTACCATTAACATGGGGTTATTCCCAGGACCCCCCCCTCTATTCATCCAGCAGGTTGATGCATCCCCTGCTGAATATGGAGGGTTGCTCCATTGTGGAGAAACACCCCGAATACAGCAGCTCGAATTATCAGGGATCCAATGTGGTGTAGATATCCTCTTTGATCCTTCTTGATGTCAGAAAACCAAGCCTGATCTCGCCACTTGGAGGATCATTAATGTTGGCCAGAGCAAACGGACATCAACCAGAGACCCTCCTGACCCCCAGGCAAGTCCTCTTGGGTATGATTCGATGCAATCCAGCCCATGTCCTCTGTACATTAAATTGGTAGTAGGGCTTTTTGTTCTGGAGGGAGGGCATAGTTCAATGTCTCTCCCAAACCTGGGCGGCGGTAGACAATCCCGAAGGCAGAAAGCACAAACCTTTGTCCCCAGGTCCCCTGAAACGGGGCAATGCACCTACACAATTTGAGTTGACAGCATTCTCAAAGGCTCAATGTACGATAAAACATGAACCTCTGGTGTAAAACCAGTAGTTTATGGGTCCAATTCACCACCAAACACTACAGGCACATGTGTGCCATGGTCAAAACCCAGGTGGGCCATGCTCATGGTTCGCTTGGGAATCCTAAACCGTTGATGGTCATCCCCAACCGGGTGCTTTGACCAGTTGGATGTCTTGGCTAAGTTTGTAAGAGGTCGGCTATTTAGGTTAAGATATCACCCCTAGCCAGAAGGTTATATCACACCAAATCGGGTCACTTCTGAGTGGGTTATAACCTAGCTTACCAATAACTTACTAACTTGGCCGAACACTCAAGAGGTCTTGACAGGCACCCTTGTGGCTTGACTTCGACATCCGACGAAGGGAGGACGCTTTGTTCACCAGTGGAATGAGCCCACCGGATGGAACGAAGTGCTTTAAAACCGCATCTAGTCCTGGCGGGAGTAAACTATGAGGGATTATTTAGCCCTTATCTGAGAGCTCCCTTACCTAAAAAGAGACGACCTTCCCTTTTGCCTCTCCTGCTTTTGCATCTCCTCCCAGAGTCGACGCTTGGCTTCAGAGTAGTTGGTAAGCCTCGGCGTGTCCTCCGTTTTCGTTCTGTCGCTTGTCAGAAGCCAAATGGCCATGGGCCATGGGAGAAATCTCGGGCTCCTCGATTTGTGTGCCAAGCATGGTGACCTTTCTGGGGCCTCGCTTTAACTAAGGCGCCGCGGAATGCCCCGTTCCAGGCCCCTCAAAAGGTTTAGGACCGAAAATTCCCGCCTAAAAGGTTCTCGCACGGGGACCTTCTTTGACTCCTCCAAGAACACTGTCATTGGGACTCTGCCATCTAAAGCCCGGGAGCCGTCAGTTGTCAGGGCGCCGAAATCGCGGCTCCAGCCTTTTGTCTGCGCGATTCCGTGACTTGAAAACGCGGGACATCTACCGCCCCGTTGCGCCGTTGCCACACTGTGACAGACAAGCCGAGGGAAAGGCCCGGCCGATGACTGGGCCCAAGAGGACACTTTTAATGATTTGTTAGACCCAAAGCCTCACTTGGGCCGGCGGTCGGCACATGACGGACCGCAGGCCCGGCGCGGTCGCGTCAATCCACGTAGCAGGCGTAGACCCAGACCTCGTGCTTGTCCCAGGTGAGGAAGGCCGACTCCTGGCCCTTCATGAGGCTCAGGCCTCTCAACTCCAAAGCACGTTAGCGACGGAAAGTCATGGTACGCCTGCAACAACCGTGCACGAATTGGTGGTTTCCCAAACTGCCCTTTTCCATCAAGTAGATATTTTTCTGAGAAACGGTTGTTTCGGGGTCCGGATGACTCAACAAGTGATCAGGTGATCTCAAAACCCCAAAATGGAGACATACACGGACCCCTGAAAATGACACCTTTGCAATCTTAAAGCGGCATTCCCTTCCCCACAAACTGACTTGAAAAAGGAGTTCCTTGGCACAGTAGTTCAAGCAAAAACCTGGTTGTTTTGGCTTTCGGAATGCGCCAAACGAGTCCCCGTCATCGCCCAAAACAGGGACAAACAACCCATCCACATTCCCGTGTAGGTCCGCGTTTATTGGAATCCCGTCCCCCCCTTTTCAATTGGAACCCGGTATCAAACAACGCAATTGAACAGTTCTGGCCAAAAACTGAGGGGCCCTAAAAATAACAACCCTTTGACTTTTTTTCAAAGGAAAGGGCCTCTATTTATTCATAGTTATTCTTAAGGGGGCACTTTTCAAAACCCTGGCTAACTGATGATTCCTGGCGCACCTGCACGTCGGCCACACCCCGCGCAAACATTAGGCACCAGAAATTATCTGCAAGCATCAAGAACCCCAAGAGCCCACGCAAAAGTACCACAAGGAGGAATATGACCCCTTGCCGGGATCTGGACATCGCCCGCCAGCGCGCGAACCTAAACGCTGCAATGCGCAAACGACCGTGGTTGTGGAAACGCATCCCGGAAAATATCCCTACCTCTTACCTTGCCACAGACTCCTTTCCGGGTATTCCGGATTTCCGTTTTGTGTGAGCAAAGTGCAGATCATACGACTGAGAATAGAAGTCTAGGCCCAAGACAGAAGTGCGACAAAACACTCGCAACCCCAAGTCCGAACCCACGTTTGCAAACCGATATCCTTGTTTTGGCTGCGGTCGCCGTGGAAGCAGCGCGCCCTCCGATAGGTATGGCCGTGCTTTCACCAGCTCCGGGTCAATTCTTCTGCGGGTATGGCGATCGGACCACCAAATCCTCAGCTGGGTGTGGCCGCTGCAAACTGGTGTTTGGCCCTTTTGTTTTCACCCCAAACATGGTACCCATGCACCCATGTTGGGCATGTGAGAAAATGGCGGATGTCCACGAGCTGGTAAACGCCACGTGCATGGTGCAAACTTGAGACTAGACTCACTGCATTGACGCATCCACAATTCAAAGCTGGCTGCGCCATTTTAGCATATTTTAGCGCAGGACCCTGGACCACGCTGTCGTCTCTCTGGTGGAGCTTTTAGTTATTTTTTGCTGTGGCCACGGCGAAACATCATATTAGCAAACAAGCTGCTGGTCCATGAGCCACCTGCAAGGACGCATGGAGAACTCCCAGTCACTATCCTTGGCGCGGCCAAACGAACATATCAAATTGGAGGGGTCCAGGCTACCTCCACAACCGTACACCATGTAGTAACGAACCCTTCTGCAAGACCTGTCAAAAACAAACTTGACAAATTGCCAGCTAAGCGTCTTGATGCACTTGCGCTTCAACTTGAGCCAGCAATCCTGGAGTCCGGAGTTTGACATGCGCGAATTGGTTTGCGCTGCTTGCTGCCAAGCGCGCAGCTGTTCAACAGCTAGTTAGTCAGAAAGTCGGGGTGCAACCAGCAATGCCTTTTTTCAGGTGCTATACGAGGTCGCCGTGATTTGGCTCCCCCCTCAAACAAGAAGCTCCGTCTTGACGGTGAAGGGAACTTGGTGAGGCGCAGGCCTTCTCCAGTCCGCTCAGCAAAGCTAGGCAACCATCACAAGCCGGAAGAAAAGCCGTAAACAAAGCTAAGGACTTGTTGAATTAGTGGGGACGCTGGTCAGCTTCCACGAGAGTGTGCGCGCTTCCCGCTTCGTGAAGCTGGCTGCCTGCGGGCTGAAGCTGGGGTGCGTTAACGTTGGCTCTGAGGCCTGGCTTCAGTCCAGAACCCAATTTCACATTGGGTACTAATTGTCCAGATGTGCATCAAAGGCTTCATCTATTGGTCTGTGAGGGCCATCAATGCAATCCTCTCAATTTGGCACTAACCACTTTCACACGAGAAAGGAGTGTGTCGTTTGAGTTTGAGAAATAACCAGTAGCGCCAATGTGACGCTTCAATGGGATATATATATATATATATATTCATATCCAAGTGCATGTTTGCTTGCAGTTTACATAGATTGGGTCCTACCAGCTTTGGTGAGCGCTCCTTTCATGCACAGGTTCCACATCCTTGCTTGGCGGGGCAGGGTAGATTGTGAATGGTTAGTGACCCTGGTCAATGTGTCCAGAAAAAAAATGGAGGATTAATCGGAGGTTATATTTTTTGGGGGGACTGGCCTTGAAGGGTGTATTTTTTATGAGCTTGTCAAACCTTGACGACAATTCCTCGCAGCGTGCTGCCCTTCCCTCAGACTCCCAAATCCAGGCCATACCCCGCGCCGGGCAGCTGAACGTTTTTGGAGCCCCCACCTTTCAGCCCCAAACGGCAACACGATTCGCATCATTCGCTGCAGCTCGCATTGCCGTTATGGTTCAAGGGCCGCGGGCTGTGCGCAGCATTTTGGAAATTGGGCGATGGTGATAATGGGAGTACTCTAGACAACGGGTTGGATGCGCTTTTTGCGCAATTCACTTGTTGTTCCCCCTGCTTTTCCTGTTGTTGTAATCTTTCAGTACTCTTTTAGTATCCTACAGGCGTGCGTCCACACAATCCACATCCTAACCGGTTTTCTAGATGCACAATGTGCTTACTGAATCCTTGTATTAACTACCTGGAGATTCAAACGTCAAGGAATTCCTAGTCATTCTCGGCATTGACCCCGTTTTGGGCGCAACCCCCCCCCCCAAATTACCGCAAACGCCTAGAAACAGGAAACCAAAACGCCCGCCAATAAGGGGCAAACGCCCTCAAACAAGCGCAAAAAAACGCAAAACGCTTAAAACGCCTAAAACCCCTTGAGAACCAGAACGCCTAGGAATTCCTCGGCATTGGAATCTCCAGGTAAATTGCGAAGCAAAAGAAGGCGCATCCTCACCGTCGAGCGACATGCCTGCCTTCTTGTCCTTGGGGTCTGGGTCATTAGAGTCTGGGGCATTAGGGACCGGCCAACTGGTGAATTAGTCCGTGAGATGTTTTCCGCATCTTCCAAAACGTCAAATGCTTCCAATCTCAATTTCAAACCGAAGCCATGTGTTGTGTTGTCGGCGCCACCCCACTAAGACCAATTCTCAGTCACAGCTGATCTTTACGAATCATGCAGAGCCCATTGCCTCAATATGCTTCGTTGGCACAATGCGCTACCATGTGAGCACGATCAAAACTACTTGTCGCCCCTATACCACGAGGCGGGGGGGAGGGGGGGAGGGCAAAAATCACGATGTTTTGCATCTCGATCATTTGCCGTCCGGTTTTCCACGCGTCTCCTGCCAGCTCCTCAGCACTTTTCAGCCCCGCAAGGCGGTTTGCCTGCTCCGGGGTGTGGCGCGGCTTGGGCCACAGCTCCCGAAGATAGAGGTCAGTGGCGATGCGCCCGATGCAAGCCGCGGCCACCTGGGCCAAAGGGATGGGAACCAAGAGGCCCTTGTCCGGTTTCAAACCTGGATCTTCCAAAATGCGTAACTATGTTTCATGCCTTTTCGCCAAAAGCGGCTTCTTCGAACAAAAGACGCTGTTTCACGTGTGGGCATGTCACGGTTCACTTGTTCGCTCTTGTAGGACAACTCCATGAAGGCGAAGTGGGCTAGTTCATTTTTTCTCTGATCAGCTTTCCAGCGAGATAAACACACGACACTTTTCGTGAACACGTCCTTTCTTGTTTGTTTGTTTGTTTGTTGTTTTCTTCGGCCTGTCTTTTTCGGATACGAGCTACAAGATGCATGCAGAAATGAAACCCGGGCCAGCTAAGAACGAGGGCTGGGGACTGTGGCAGTGCACTTGTTGCTATATGTTGATCGGATTGTGCATACAAGACCGTATCTGTTGATTGCTCTTGCTTTGCTTATGTTGAGCTCTGATTTAATAAGTTGTGTTTAAACGGTACCAATTCTATTGGAACGGAAATCTTTGTGTAAAACTAAATGGCATTTGAATTCTAATCGAACTAAGAAACTCTGATTGAATTATTCCCTTAATAAATTTGATTTAAGCTCAGCGAGAACGCTAGCAGAACTTGGTAAAGAAGCATAATAAGCAATCAAGTCAGAGGTCCAAGAATCGTGTTTTTGCCTAGCTCCAGTACTACCATGGTCAAACAACACAAAGCAAAACAACGGTGTTTTGTAGCGTGCTTCATGCACATCTCCACCGAGGGCTAAATTCATCATTCTAATATAATCTAAATGGACTCAATATTGACCCGTCCTAGCGTCTCCTAAAACCAAACTGCCCATGCAGCCCGATGAACCTTAGCCCTTGCCTATGCAGGACACCTCGAAGCCCAGGTTCTCCCCCCTTTCGACCTTTCCCCTTAGCATAAAAGACAAGCTGAAGGAGTGATGCCTTCGAGGTCCTTCTCCCACGCGAGGAAACCTACACTTTGGGCCACCGAATCTTTTGCCAAGGAAGAACGTTCGAAAGGACCCTCCGATCACTTGAATGTGAGTCATCAGAACTGGGTACAGGAGTCTGCCCAACTTGCCTTGAATCAAAAGGGTGAAGAGCTTGCCACCTTTTTTTAAGACAAGGAGACCGTCCCCTAATTGCCTGCTGCCTGAATCGGCGCAGCTCTTGTGACTCTTGATTCATGGCAACGATGGCAAGTATGACCCCCCCCCTGCAACCAAGTAGAAGCAGCAACTCGAAGCAGATCCCCAAGGCTTCAACGGATTTCGGGAGAAGTTGGAGCGCCCTTCTTGAGACTTTTGAGGGACACCTGAAAGAACTTCAAAGGCCACTGGAGCAGATGCGACCCAGATCCGTCCGAGGACTTTCCCTATCAACTGGGTTGCTCTCAAGGGTCGAGTCAATCACCCGTCGTTTTCATGGTGAAAAAAAGTCATGTGTTTCCAAAGGTCCAACTCCGACATTGAGATTCTTGAGATTCGATCATGGCGGTTTCGCTTTCGAGTGCCTCCAAATCCATGATCCAGATGTTGTAGGAGCTATCGCCGCACTCGAAACTCCACTCCTCCTGGCGTCTCGACACCAGACCCAAGGGGGTGGGGTGCCAATGCCATAGTTCTAGCGCCCGCACAAGTGAGAGACCCAACTTAACTTTTGGCTCCGCCAAGCTGACTAGAAGGTTTAATAGCCCTTACTACAAGCTAATACAATGAACCCCTGCTAGCAACACTCACTATAAACCCCGTGAAGCAGGTAGCACCTAGTAAAGTGGTCAGGGCGTTTGGGCGCAGGTGAACCTAGAGATCTCCGAATGTCTTGGAGCCAGAGGTTGCCTCGAACAGCCATAACTCATAGAGTCGGGCACCTCCGGGTTTCCATCTCACTTCCGATCGAGTGGATTGCCAACGATGAAGTATCCAAATTGTTTGTCTGTCATCTAAATGGTCTTCCCTAAAAGTATAAAGTCCAGCAACTCAAGAAGTGAGTTGTCGATTCAGGGGTCGACCTCAGAAGCGCTTGTGACTATTGGATTCGATGGCCGGCTCAAATTGAACTGGCCGTGATGATTGGAGCTAAACATATAGGGAACCCAACTGAGCATCAACTCCTCTGGGAATAGCTACCCAAAGGTTTCTCAAGATCTTCTCGACTCACAAGTTCACCGATCGATAAAAAAGGAAATGAACAAAACACGTGTTGAGGAAAATTGGGCACAGCTCCGTCTGGCGAGGTTGCAACTTCTGTTCACCTGTAAGCCCCCAAGGTTTAGGCGGCCAGGCGGCTTTTCAATGCCAAAGCGGGCGCCAAATTTTGGGGAACTCTCTCCCATTCGAATGGGGGGGATCTTTAGGATCATCCAGGCAAACCTGGACTTTGCTGGACCCATTCACGCAAGCACGGTGTTGCACACCGCCCAGAATGAAGCCTCCCTGGCTGGCTTTATGAAAGTACAGAAGGGTGCTTCAAAGTCCGAAGGGAAATTCCAGAATGGCCTCAGGGACCCCCGTCTTTGGGTTGGACCCCTAAAAAGAAACAAGCAAGCAGCAGGACCAACAGAACAGATGCCTGTGAGTCCAAAATCCGTGCCCAAAATGGAACCCTGGTAGATGGAACCAAGGACTAAAACATGCGGTCCCCTGGCGGTTTCATTTTGACCCGTCGTCTTTGAAGCCTGTTGGTGAGTGATTTCGAACCAACGACCCTTTAACCATTCGAAGGGGACGTTCTGGGGGAGCACCTGAATAAGCGAGTCAGGAGTTAGCTTACCGATGTCACCCACCCCTCGCAAATTTGGTGGTAAGCCTTTGGTTTCAGTCCTGAAGGTACTTGCATGTGCGTTGCCAAGTTAAGTGGTTGGCCACCTGTTTCTTTTCTTCACCTAAGTGGGTTATGACCCTACCAACTTACTAGCTTGGCAAGAAACAGCCAAGTACCGGGCCTCAAACAAAGACACCAACACGCAGCCAGAACTCTTTGGACCGGGCCGGTTTTGATCGAGGTGCTGATACCAAGGTTCTTGAATTTTCTCAAGGCAACCTTGTCATTTTAAAGCGGCTCCCGTCGAGGATAAAAGTAACCCCTGAAATGCAAAGCTTCTCCTGAGATACCTGGAAGCTATAGGGGTTCTAACTTCTATAGAGGGGAAAGTGATTTGCGAGATTGTTGGCTGGCTGCTAGGCATGCAGTTTGGGGTGTTTGGGGTGGTGCATGTGTTGTTTTGGGGTGATGGTGATGGCACAGACGCCTCCTATGCGAAATTGAGGGTAGGGCGCCTTCGGGGGCATGCAGTGCGGCGCTGCAGTTTTTCGCTCTCTGGGGTCTATGTTGGTGTAATGCTTTTGGCGTGTTTTTAGGGTACCTTGTTCTATCCTGGTGCACAAGGGTTTGCAGGAAAACCCTTTTGAGGTGAAGCGAACTCGGTCCTTGAAGGGCAGGGGGCCCGCATTGAACCAATCCCTCGAGGGCCAGCACAGATACATGTCATATGCACCTTGGGAGACACTCAGGGTTGGGCGATGCATTCTCTTCTTTAAACATGCTCAAACCGCAGCTGTCTAAACAACCTCTTTCCGGCTTCCTTCAAGGGGGCAGGGATTGAAACGGGAATGGCCTTCTCATTTTGGAGTCCACCTCAGCCAGCTGCTGAATCTGAAATCATACATGTTGACGGGCCAGGTGCAACCGAAGAACTAGGAGGCGTTATGAGACGCAAACTGGGACCGAACGCCTCTGGGGCAACTCTGGATAGGACCGAAACAACTCCGAAACCAAGACCAAAACGATACCGCGCCTATTCAAAGGTTCTGTGATGCCAAGGTTCTTAACTTCCATGACTACCTTGTGATGTTAAGCCGGATCCCATCGAGGACAAAAGTGATCCTGAAATGCTTTCTGGTACCGGGGATTCCCTAGAGGCAAAGCAAACTCGGTCCTTGAAGGGCATGGGGCCCTCATTGAACCAATCCCTCGAGGGCCAGCAACGATACATGTCACCAGCACCTTGGGAGACCGGCAGGGTTGGGCGATGCACCCTCTTCTTTGAACATGTTCAATCCACAACTCTTTAAGCAACCTCCTTCATAAGGGGGCAGGGATGGAACTTTTTTCGATTCTGGAAAATGGCAATCGACCATCTGCGGAGAAGTACAAAGCAGGTGAGTTGCACGGATTGCCTTGCTTGCAGCTAGCAATATGCTAGGAAATCAATCTCAAAGTTGTACAGTCGGCCAAGTTCCTTGTACCCGCTGCAAGCCCTCTGGACGAATTACCCGTTCCCGCCAACTTGACCTGAGCATGTTCAAGATACTCAAAGAACACCCCACCCAATCGGCGCCAGTTGGCGCCTGTGTGCGGACATCAACTTTTGGCAACCCTGCCAAACAGGGCTCCAAACCTACTTCCCTACGGCAGAAAATGTACTTTCTACGGGTTGTCTACGGTTTCTCCACGGTCCCTCTCGGTCGCAAGCAACGAGCAACGAGCTCAACAAATCTCGGTTTTACGACTCGACCTGATGTGAATATCCTGATTGCAATGTGTTTCCCCTTCTGCGGAATGAAGTACCCCTGACTTACACCTTACTTATCGTAGCGGTTTTTTGCTTGCCTATGGTTTTCCCGAATGGTTTGCCTGTGGTAATTGTGTCTATGATATGTCTACGGTATGGCTATGCATAGTGGATGCAAAAAATGTCCCTTCTCGAGCAAAAAATGTCCGTTGTCCCAAGGACATTTATTTAATGGCCGAGGAAGTTCTGGGCAAAACAGCCCAAGGGGGAAAAACAACAACCCCCCCTAGCACCCAGCCAACAATCTCGCAAATCACTTTCCTTCTTTATTAGAAGTTAGAACCCCTATAGCTTCCAGCTATCTGGGGAACACCCCCTGAACCTCGAACAGGGATCCTTACAATATACGCCTGAGCATTGCCTTGTAAATGGTGGCGTCCCTTCATTTTGGTGGAAAAAGCCATGTTTCAAATGGGCAAACTGCATCTTTTGAGCCCCGTTGAAACTCCGGGCGCTCTGGATCTTGCTCATGCGGTCGCCCTTTTCTTTGATCAACTTCTGGTGCGCAGCCCATAGCCTGCGGCTTCGCCGGTCTGAAGCGGTTCAAGGGAGGAAGGCGTCTTCGTATCCAGAAAGCGAACCACGGGGAAGGCCGGAACATACATATTGGCATATTGGCTCTTCAACGCCAAGCTCCTCTGCTTGATTGGTCCCTTGCCATGTTTTGCTACCCAAGATCCCGTTGGGAGCTGCAGTCTTGATCTTGGGCAAAAGCGTAGGGTGAACCCGGGTGACCAAACCAACTGCTTCATCCGCTAAAAGCACGATATCCTTCTGACGCAGCACGGTGTCCGTGTCACCCGTCTGAGTCACAGCGAGTCACGGGAAAGGCCTATGCCTCCAGTTGCAATTGCCCTCAACTCGGTCGAGTGTGGCTTGTGCACAAGGTTCCTGAGACATGTGCCCCTAGCACTGTGTTTCAAACACCTTTTCAAACTACCACTTACCCTTTGAAACACCTCCCCGACAACACGAAGCTGAGACCTTTGATTTGGACGCGCGATACGCTCGCAGCTTTGTGCGATCCACAGAGTACTGGCAGCACATGCTGTTGCAACTACTCAAACTCCAAACGGAATCCATATTTTTCTCGTACTATATTGTAAAGATCTTGTGAGTGACAGTAAACTCGTGTATCTAAACTCGATGCAAACGTTTCTGGGAGTTCCATTCAGCAGCAACGCTTTCAGTGGTGATCAATACTCAATTGCTAGTTGGCATCAGAAAGGTGTCAATCTTATATCTCGCTTCTATGGATTGGCGGCTCTGTCAAAAGTCAAACGAAGGCTCAATAGCTTTCCCCCTGCCCAGGTGCAAAACGGCAGGTTCCCAGCAAACTGGTACTTGCGCAGGTTCAAAAAACGAAAGACACATGGCTGTGGGTCAAAAATGCGTACCCAAAATGTAACCCTGATAAATGGAACCAACGACTAAAACCAGCGGTCCAATTCCTGGTGGTTTAATTTCGACCCATACCCCAATCAAAAAGACCACACATTCATCAGACAATCCCTGGTCCAACTCCCCACCCCAACTCGACGTTGGGAAGCCCAAGGCCTCGTGACCTGAGAGCTTCCCTATCCGCGAATCCGCCTCGCAAGCTCTGGGCGGATGGCCGAGGAAGAGCCCGTGGCCAGTGCCAGCAGCTGGCCATGCCAGGCATCCCAGAACCGCTGCGCCGCCTCGGCGTTGGCGCTCCAAACCAAAGCCACTTGTCTAGGGGGACAAATCCCCATTCTGAATCCAGGGATCCGAACCTTTTCACAAAGCCATCAGAACCCCAAAAGAAACGTATGGGGAATCAGCCCCTAGAATTTGCGTTGTGCCTCCTGAAGCCAATGGGAAAGCATGGTTCCAGCAGTGATCGGTTCCTTTGAGACTCACAGAGGAAAATAACGGATGTCTCAATAAGCACATGGAAGAAGCTGACTGGGCTAAACATCCTCAAAACTAGTCCTGAAATCCAGGCTCAAGGTCCTTCATGCAAGTGATATTCAGGTTCATGCGCCCGATGTTCAAAATCGATCCGCAAAGATTTTAGACGGTGCGCAAAGATTTTAGACGGTGTCCTTTGCTTGGAGGCACACTGCAGGATATATTGTTATTGTTCATTGGGGACACTCGCAAAGATGTGGCAAGTACTTCCGGGACTTGCAACCATGGCTATGGTGGGTTCTCAGGACCCTTGTCTATTGGCTGAGGGTGTCCCGCGAGTTCCATTTAACAAGGTGCTCAGGGTCTGGCTGCCAGAACATGGTTTACTTTCTTGGCCTGACCCCAACATGTGGTAAAAGGACTGCACATGTTCGTTTCAGTTCAACCCTTTCCATTCGCTCGAATAGGTTTTAGCATCCCCGCAAGCTGTCTGGGGACTACCCATCCGGTGGTGCGTGCTGGGGGAAACAAACCCTGCAGAGGGTACGACAATGTACTGCATGGCCATCCAGCAAGCCACTCACAGCTGCTGAAAGCTGGGCACAGCCAATGCTTCTGTTAAATTCATGAATGGATTCGCCCAAAACGAATCCAGAGATGGGAACATGATTGGGAATGATAGGATACTATAGGCAAAAGACACAGCAAACTAATGCAGACATCACTTGAATCATCCTAAATGCATTGTAAATCTTAAAAACTAAGACAATGACAAGGTCCAACTGCTGAACAACACGGTTGTGAATATCGGGTTGACTTCTTGCAAAAGGAAGAGCTTAACCATGTTGAAGTTTGCTTGGCCACATTTCGCAGAGAATCTGGGTGACGCTTCCAACAACTGCGTGGCCTGTTTCGAGTAGGGAATATGGGGATGGTTGCTTGGTTGGAAGGTGCATTCGCAAAACAGAATAGGCAGCTTCCAAGCAGAGACATTCGCGAATTGGGACGACCTGTTCGTACGGGGTCAAAAAGGAAACCAAGGCAAATCCATTGCAATCGGCGGCACCACTTGCTTCGTACCCCGCATCCTTTCAAAGACGCCTGTCTTCGGTGAGACGGGTGGACTTGAACATCCCTTCTGGCCCCCAAGGGTCCCGACTTGTATCCACTTCCCTCTGCCTGTTCCATTTGAAAGGAGGTGTCTGGTTAAACGCACTAGGCCTCAAAGTGACGTAGGGAACCACACAGCCTTGGAAGGTTCCAGGCTTGCATGGTCGAACGCCCTTGGCAACTGTGACCCACAAGTTTTAAAAAAGCGACCGTGGGGCAGCATCCCTCCCCGGAAAATGCGAGCCCTGGACATCATTTTGCCCGTTTTTGGGGCTTGTTGACGAGTGTAGTGTTATCCCTAATTTGGGAAGCCCCCCCTTTTTCGGTTGAAGAGCAGCACCAACATTTTCCAGGTTACATTTGGAGACAAACCAAGTCCAAATCCCGGGCTTTCGGGACATGTGTCCTTTTATGGGTTGCTGAACTTATGCACGCCTTGATTTTGATTGGGGGGTGTGCCGTACAGAGGATCCCGGCCTTTCCCTTTTTAGAGTGAACTCACAAAGTTGTCGGTTTGCAACCCTTGCATGAAGAAACGCAAACCATTTTGGCTACCATCACTTGGCCCCAAAAACGGGAGGATCCCTTGCTGTCCCTCAACAACCCGTTTTTAAGGGGCCCACCCAACACAAACAGTCACCAAGGTTCCTGTCGCGTCTCCAATTCTCAATGTCGACCATGGATAAATATACCCGTCCTGGGGCTGTCCCCGGGTTTAGTGGAGGTTCATTACGTGAGGGGAAAATCCTCCCAAACAAAAGAACAGGACGAGTGTAATCGGGGTCCACTTGAAAGCTCGGTCAAGGAAGTAAGTTTTTGGTAACGTAGGTTATAATCCACCTACTAAAGTGGGGTTAACCTTGTTAGGGGGTCAAAATAAAAACAACGGGCGACCCACTTACTAGTTTCACCATGAAACTCAATTGACCTTGGCAAGGGTTTGCTCTCGGTCGACCGAAACACGGTTGACCAATCTTCGGACGATTTTGGTGCAGCGGCACCGAACAACCCCGTTCCTACCCACCCTTGGGGAAAAAAGCCGGGCATTGCCATGTGTTCCCTTCGAAAAGGAATTTGTTTGCGGGGAAGGGCCCCATTGGTTCAGGGTACGTTTTTCCCATTACGCGTTTCTTGCGGGGGGTTTGCCTAAAACCAAAACGCGGCAGGGCCCATGTGATCCAAAGCCCTGGTATGAGCGCCCAGTTTGGTCAATTAGGCCCCCGTTTTAGTGGCGTTCCTTTTGACTTCGCTCTGAAAACCACCACAAGGGCACCTCCCAAAGCACACGCCGATATGGAATGATGGGGGGACTTGCTATGGTTGCTGGTCGTTGCCCATAGAGGGGGTCCCAGTTTCGGCACAATCTGCAAACTTTACAATTCCACCTGAGACATTTGGGTTGTATCCCTCATGCTGATCTCGCTAAACAAACCAATATATGTGTATCTATATATACACATTATATACACAAGTATATTACGGGCTTGAAACTATATAAAAAGGTGAACTCTGGTTTTAACCAGGAACCAATACACAGTGTTGCCAGTGACTGTGGACAAGATCTTTCTCCACAGAAACCCTGGAATGATGAATCCCCTGCAAGTACCAAGCAACAACGGTATCCCATGCTTTCAAGTTGTGCAAACGGACTTCGTCCATCCACAGTATTTCGATGCTGCATCTACCATATTCTGGACACCAACTTGGCTCCCTGACTACCAGCTAGGCATGTTCAACTACGTTCTTTCGCTAAAAGGAAAACAGCAGGGCTGCGGGAAATGACCACTTTGCTGATACAAGAACAAGGGCCTCCCAATTCCCTTTTACAAGAGGGATTCCAATTTCTGCAGTGGGCAGAGCGCTCGTGACCCCACAAACAAAAACGGAGGATGCATTGGATCACCCCCCCCAAAAGAAAAAACGAGTGAATCCCCCAAAGGATATATTGGCTTCGGCTCCGGCTCGCTCCGCCTGGTGCCAAGTGCCGCGGCTTTGGCCCAGCTCCGCCAAGGCCGCGGCGTCCAGGAAGCGGAGACCCCCGTTCTTCTCCCAGAGCTCCAGGACGTCCATGGCGCGGTGACGCGGTGACGCGCGGCGCCGAGTGATTCCGCGGGGGTCGAGCTGTTGTTTTCAAAGGGCTTCTGAAGAAAATGGTGACCATCTGCAAAACATCGTCACCTTTGACCACCAGATGCAAAAAAGATTGTAGATGGTCACCACCTTTTTTTGCAGATGGTGAAGGTGACAGTTTTGGATGGATGCAAAAAAGATATCATCTGCAAACGCCAAGTGAGATGGGAGAAACACCCAGTTGGTTTGGGGCCGGTTTTGAAGTGGGGCGGGTTCCCAATGGCATACACGGAGCGGTTGGAAGCTCAAGTTGTCCAATCCAAGCCACATGCGGAAGAGCTAAATGGCGACGGAGGTAGCGAAAAGATCAAAGAGTCGCATGGGTCTTGGAGGTATGGAGGTTGTTGTCTACCACCTGGCCCACAAAGCTTACACAAATGCATCCCTGAAATTGCCCTTGACCAAATCCAAGGAAGCCAAGGGCTGGAATGATTCATCCACGTTCTCAAGAAGTACTAAGTACCGCAAGGTCATGAAAGCTTCACCGCAATGGTCCCAATGTGAAGCTCTCAAGGCACGATCCTCTTGGCATTTTTTAGGCCCCCGGCCGGGTCAGGCTCTGGTTCCGGGCATTGCTGCGCATCCAGACCATGAACTCTTGCACGGTGACCCAGCCTTCCGGCAGCCCACAGAAACAGAGAGGCCATGGTGGCATGGACGTGGACAGGGGCCTTGACGAAAGAGGGCAGTCTTCCAAAACCCTTTGGAAGGCGGGTAGAAGGCGGGTATCCTTTGGGTTCTCTTCAAGGAAACCCAAGGGATAACCTCTGTCTTGGCTTTCCCATTTACAGGCAAACTCAATTGGTCAGCGTCCACTTTGGCCGAGTTTCCACAAGCCCAGCCAATCCCCGGAGTAAGTTGGAACACACCCCATGACCTTTGAAGATGCCTTCTTCAAGCTCGCTAAGGGGAGTAGAATGCCTTGCAACTGCGAGCCTCTGAAAGATGTGAACAGAACATGTTCCCCCAACACCCAAGGGACTATGACGCGGCTTCACAAAAGTGTGTGGAATTTCTTGGGGGGATGTTTAAAGACGCCTTCGTCGTAGGCCCTTTCTGTGGCACTCTAGAGATTACGCCAGGGTAGAACTTTCATCCAAGCTGCACTCCGGCGGTTTGGCGTGAAAAAAAAAACTGCAACATTGGTTGTGTTGAATGTTGATTCCCAGTTCTGGAGCATAATCTGACATTAGAATAGTTATATGTGATACGGGCACGAGCCTGTGCCCAGGCAATGGGTAAGTTGGGGTAAACAAGCCACAAAAGAAAGGTTCCCCAAAAGCAAACCAATCCCCGGTCCCAAAGATCAGGGTTTCCCACACACCAGAGAACAACAACCAAAGGAAAACAAACCAAACAAGAAAAGGGTTAACCCGCAACCTTGGTCGACAACAGGCCGCACGACTGGTCCCTACCAACCTGGCGGCGGCCCGAGGTCTCTTTCTCCCCCGAGATGCCGTCGGTCGACGCAGGGGTTCGGCGACGCCCATTCGAGGCGCGACGGAACCCAAAACTTGAGCCAAAACACCACAGGTCGGTCACTAACGCGACGTCCCTGATGATGATATAAACCATGGCTAATCACACCCCCCTCACGAGGAGCCCGTCATATGACGGGTGGAGCGTGCCATTTACTGATAGGATTTAACTGCTCGCATGCGTCCGCAAACAGCTGGACACTACCGCCGTCAGCGGTGGAGCAAACCCACAAAGGCAGTTGCGCGACATCCCGGGCATTAAATTCCCGCCACCACCCCGAATTAATCGGGGTAACGCTGTCCAACATACCTTGTGGAAAAGTCCACATGACGACACTAGGTCACAACTGTTTGCATCAACAATGCAAGAAGTTTAATTCTTATCAGAAGCCATGAAAAAGAAGATAACGTATGTCCATCTAGCACCCTCGCCTAACGGCAAGAGGTGCTCCTGACCATGCGTACCTGAAAAATGCTTGAATTCCGCAAACCCGGGAGTAACCCCCCATCAGTTTGCTTTCCCTCTCACTCACACTGCTTCCTGATGAACATGTCCAGCAGCCCAGCAGCGGTACAGGAGTGACATGACCTCCGCGCCTCAGCGGTCCGGGAGGAAAAACACCACCTCCGCACCGCGCCGACCATTGGAGAATGGACGCAAGCCTATCGGCCGCAATCCTCGTGACTCAGCCTACCGGCTATCGTCACGTCTCCTCCGGTCACGTCCGCCCCGCGCACGGTCCCTGTCACGATCCCTTTCGGACCTCCTGCGATCATCTCGCCTTCGATCTCGCTCCCGATCGAGTGATTCATCATCTCGACGATCACGAGCGTCGTCCCTCCTCCGGTCACGATCATCCTCGCGCCGTGGACGGTATCTGCGCCTTCTCGACTCTCTGGAATCCCTGGTGTCCACGGTCCTAACGGACCTCCGAGAGGGAGTACGGGAAACATCCGATTCCCTACGCCTCCTCCCAGAACGAGAGTTCGTCACAATCTGGTTGAGGACCTCCAGTGCTGACGCATCCTCACCATTTCTGATGAAGTCCCTGACTTGCTTGTTCAGCACCCTGTTGGTAGAGACCGACAAGAGAGCATCCACCACCGAACTCTCAGGCAACACCAGAAAGTGACCCTCCACCGGGCTCGCCGCAGTTCGCTCAGCAGACTGCAACCGGATCTCTCCGCCTTCAGGCTTCTTTGCCATCGCCTTGGAGGCCGTCAAAGGTGCTACCGCATCCTTTGCCGAAGATCTACCAAGCGCAGAGTGAAGATCATCCCCACTGGCCTCTCTCGCCGCCGCACCTGGTCTGCTGTCGACGTCATCAGGCCTTGTTGATGCCTCCCGCTTTGTCGACTCCTTCACAGTCTCGTCGGGATCCCAACGGGACCTCCTTTCTCTCTTCTGCCCTTCAGCCGACCCCCGGCTACCGCCGGAAGCGTCTATTCCGCTCATCTTCTCCTTCTTGACCTCAACCTTCGGTTCGGCCTGCTTCGTCTCCGCAGTCTTAGCCTTCGGAGCCGGAGCATCCTTCGCCTCAGCTACTGAAGCGGCCTTTCCTTTCGTCTCGGTCTTCGGAACCGGGGTCATTTTGGCCTTCGCACTCGGCCGGGCTCCCTGAACCGCGATTTCGACCCAGGTCTTCTTCGGTTGAGCTGCAGTTGCATCAACCTCCATCGGAGCTGGTCCAGCATCGTCCTTTGCTTTTGCCTTCGGGACAGATGGGCTACCGCCCTTGCCAGCTCCTGCACTTGTCACTCCACCTGACTTTGGTGGTGGGCCGGAAGGACTACCGCCCTTACCGCCCTTCTCCCCTTTCTTCCCTTTTCCGCCCTTGATGACCGGCTCCTGCTTGGAACTAGGACCTGGTGCAGCATGATGCACCGATTGAAGTCCCTCGATGTCCACGTTCAGCGGTTCAGGTTGACGACCATCAAGAACCGTCCTCACCCTCTCGTCACTAACGTAGACGAACGGGTCACGGAATGGTGCGGGAGGCTCCGACTGGCCGGCATTGATCGCCTTCTGCACCTTGGCTACCGCCTCCTTCAACCTCTTCTTCTCATCGTACCCCGTCTCCGACACCATGTACTGCCTGAGCTTCGAAATCAATGCATGGCTCTCCAGGATGTCCACATCCTTCCGATGGGTCGGATACAATGGGGTCAGATGACCAGCCGCAGAGCCAATCACGTATGCCATCGGGATATAGAAGGACAAGTACGTGTCATGGCGAGCGAACTTCCTAACGGAAGTCGTCATACGCCTACCCCACTGAGCAGCATGTCTTGGGTTGGCCCGGAAGTACTCCGTGACCGACTCAAATCTATCGACTTGGTTGGTCTTAATCAGGTGCTTCGCCACCCACTTCTCCACAAACACATCCGAGGCCGATATCCCCGACACATAGGAAAATTGGAAGAGCACCTTCGCCAGCTCATCCCACGCCGCATCGACACCTCCCTTGTCTTCACCAAGATAAGGGGGAAGTCTGATGCCGCTCTGCACCGTCAACCTCAAATCGGATGCCATCGAATAGGAAATCAAGTTCCTCTTGATGACTCCGACCACATCGGAGGGAATCCTCCTGGGCTTGAACTGCCCCATGGTCCTTACCCATTCCGGCACGATGCGACACCTTTCGAAGTCCTTTTCCTCCGCGTTGGGGATAAAGTTCGGGTAAAAGACCGGGAGCGCACACCCGGGACACAAATGCATCCCATTCGGCATCAACTCTGCGCACCTCAGGCAGAACGTGGCAGTCACATCCAGCCTGATCTCTTCCCGCGATCGCCTGTGCTCTCCCCTAACGGGGGTGAAGTCGCCATAGTCCCATGTCCGATGGTACACTATCGTGTAATCATCGTACATGTATGCCGCCTTCCAAGCTCCCATGTGAATCTCGTTCCTAACGGCAAGAGTCTTCCTCCTTGTCAGATACACGGGTCCAACCAAAGACCAGTGCACCCGAAGGTCCACCATTACCACCACGTGCCTACCGGAGTAGTTCCGCAGCCTGTCCCTGACGTACCACGAAGGCGATACCTCGGCATCCGGCGCCATTGCTCCCACAAGTGGGATCAGGCCCTCATCCTGTCTTCCATCACCAATGGTTTCGTACACATCGGGCCTTGTGATCAATACCTCGATCATGGCCTTTCCGTTTCGCCTCAACCTTTGGAGTTGAACAGCCTTCCGGAAGTCCGAGAACTTCATGATGACGTACCCCACCATGGGGAGTTCATTCCAATGCATCTCGTACATCAGAGACCCGCCAGGGGCATCTTCCTGAGTGTACCTATGCCTAACGGCGCTGTAATTCAAATCCCGCCCGATCCGTGTGTGCCTAACGGCAATCAATCTGGTGCTCTCCTTGAGAAGAACGCCATCCCCGTCGTACATGACCATGAGCATCGCTTCAACTTGCCCCATCGGGAAAGCTTTGAGCGTCGGAATGAAAA